AAAGTGTTTCCATTTCCACTCTGGCCAACTCATGAGTGTATTTTTTATGTGCTTTGCTTTTTCAGGCACGTTTTTGAGTTTGTGGTTTATGTGCTTGGCCATATGTTAGGTTTGGGCACGTTCCGAGGTATTAGATCTATTCGGCCATTTCGAGATACAAGTGGAGCCGTATTAACTAGCTTCTTATGTAATTAAGTACCAAGGAAGTGAGAAGTGAATATAGAAATCTAATCAATATTCCCTCCCGATTGGCAGTGCCTTTAAAGTCTTCCTTGAGCTGTCGCCAACCACTTTTAAGAGCCTCTCGCCATGTATATTCACAGCTTCTGAGTATCTCCTCCTGTTTCCGCTGAAACCCTTAATCTCCAGCTGGTCGGAGCTGTTCAATTAAATGATTTTCTTGTTACCGACTTAATGTGCCTGCTAAATACTGTCCACCAAACTGGGCACGGATGGATTCAGGGGGCGGCAGGGAGGCGGCGGTTGTTTATTTGTCTCCGCAGAATATGTCTTCCTGTAATTTATGAGCAGTGGCCAACGAGTTTCCTAGCTACTTCTCCATTACTACTGCCATTTGCCATTCTTGTTCGGTTCCCTGTTCTGGGTACTGTGTTTTTTTTTTGCCTCACTGTACCATCTTCTGGGCCGCAGTTGTTTTAGTTTATGCGCTCAATTTAGTAACTAGTTAGCCAGAAATGGCTGAGACGGTCGCCTCTGCTGGTCACTCTGCCCAGTGGTGGCGCACACCACACAAGACCCCAAAACCAAACAAGAAACTAATAAAAAGCCGAACCAGAAACCACAAGAGCTCATAGCTCAAATGCGCTGACAGCAGGCACGAGTTATGCGTACGTATCTCCACTCGAGGAACGAGAAGTGGAAGTCGGCGGAGTAGGGGAATCGGAGGAGGGGTCCGATATGGGTCCGGAGTAGGTAGAAGTATGTGCAGCTTTTCCAACTAAATGCTATAAAAATTCTTGACTTAATAGCAAAACAAGACAGGGAACAAGCGTTTCTATGCGAGTGCCGTGAGTGTGTTTGCGTAGGAACAGTTGCGGTGGCGATAATAGGAGCTTAACCTTATCAAAAATAAAATTTTAATTTTTAATGCTGTTAGTTTATTTTTCCTACAAACAGGCTTAATGTTATGTAAAATATAATTAAGTTTTTTAAATCTTAATTACAAAGCAACTATTAATTCGCCCGCTGCTGTTCGGCCTGTGTGTCTCTGATGGAGCAACCCGTGTAGGGCCACTAAAGAAAACTAACAAGTTACAAAAGCAAACCATCTGGTGGAGATGGCAAAGATGGGAATGGCAAGAGTCCAGTTCCGAAGTGGAGAAAGAGGAGGAGGAGGTTCAGCAGCTGGAGAAGATGCTGAAAGAAGTTGGAGGAGCTGCTCGTGGATCCACATCCATATGTAGCAGCTTGGAAACAAGAAAAACTTGAAAGGCCAAGAAAAACATTTAGTAGATGATGAAAATCATGGCAACATCAACTTGAAGATGCCACACAACTGGCAACCCGAAGGGTGGAGACGGACGGCAGAAGGATAAAGGAGAACTCGGAATGGAGGAGAGATTCCTGTTGATAAGACTGTGATTGGAAGAGGAAGCTCTGCCAACTCTCGATGGGTCAATAACATTTTAAGGCACTTGTCTGCTTAAATTTAAGAGTTAATTGTTTAGGTTAGGTTTTCAGATATGGAGACTGAGGCACATGATTATAGTTATGGACAAGAAAACTATCATTTCTGATTGGACTTAATAAGTAGTAACTACTATATTAAAGTGAAATTACCAAAGGCCGAAATAACTTCTTGTCTTGACAGGGCAACTTAACTAATTGTGGGCCTCAGGCCTTTAAAATCCCTGTAGCTCTGCTTAAATTTATGGTATCTTCTGGAAAATTTGTGTAGCTTTTTAAACTTAACATTCATTAGTTACGAATAGAAAGGCCCGAGGAGGAGCCGAAAAGGGGGGATGAGGAAGAGCTGAACTGGGGATAAGTCGTAGTCGCCTTATCATTTATCTTGGACCTCGGGCCAAATGTTTTCTGGCCTGCCAATTTCGCGTGTCTTGAATGGATGGTGGGTTAAACTGGAGAAGGGATTCAGGACTATAGACTAGGGAATCGTGGCTCGGGAGTCGGCGGGGCAAAGACGAGTGGTTCGTTCGGTTTGGTTTTGCGCTTGTTGGTCATATCAAATCGCTTTTGCCTTGGCTGCTTTGGCTTTTGTGGCCTGTGGCTCAGCGCGTGCCTTCCTCAATTTTCCCGCTTTCCCAACCGCCATTCCACCCTTCCACCCGCAGCCCACACATCAAAATTAGATTTGGCCAAGTTAAGCAACGGCCATTGAGGGAGTTAAAGCTCTGTCGATTATTTTTAATGGATCTGCTGCTTTCGCGCCACATTCCCTTTTTTTCTTGTCGTTTTGTAATTAAAATTAAAATTAATATTAGCTGGCTGCTGTTTGCTCTAATTTTATAGCTCTTTTGATAGTTGTTTTCTGACCTTAAGTTGCTGCGATTTTTTTGGCAATTAAACCTGCCAAGAAATCGGAAAACTAAGTGAATATGAAGTCTGATAGGGGAAATTTGCTGCAACTTTGAAGTTCTTGAATTCGTGATTTCTTTAAGAACTGAAAACAAACTGGAGACCCAGTTAAACTTATAACTAATTGCCGAAAGAGATCCGAAGACGAATTAAGTTAGACCCTGTCGCATTTTCCTGTTTGGGTAAATCGAGTTACCTGGAAGCGAAAGTGCCGAATTAAATGTAGCTTATTTTCCTTTCATTTAGGATTAGTAAAATAAATTGCCGCACACCCCCAGATGTAAACTAAATTTTTAATTTTTTCACTACGTGGGCTGGCGTCTCAAGAGATGGTTTTCTTTTTCCCTTTGCGAGGGTCCTTTGTGTTTGTTAATAGTATTTTCCGAGTGAGTGGCTGGGGCGCACTTGTAAATGGGGAAAAGGCAGAAACCTGGCAACAATTTGGCAATTGATTGAAAAAATATTTCTAACACGATTTTCAGGGTCCCCTCATTTCTCGCTTCTTACTTCTATTTTTGTATTTTTTTTGATGCTGCAAAATAATTCAATTATTTGCGTACATAATTTAAGGGCCATGTCCGAGAGCGTTGAGCAAGAAATTTATATGCAAAACACGCATAAAATTGTTTGCCCCGTCTCTTTCGTTCCCCTGCTGTCCCTGTCTCTTTCACTGGTTGATTATTTATGAACACGAAGCGTCGGCCATGGAAATAATTGAAGGAACTTCACTTCACTCCACGCCACTCGACGACTGTTTGCCGGGGTCCATTTTAAAGTAATCAAGGGAATGAAAGGCCTATTTTCAGGTCACTAGCCCGGCTTTCCCCGCCCGGAAAATGCCGGGAATGCAGTGCAGAAACGACCTGGCCCAAATGTGTAAAACATGTTCGCAAAGTGACAATTAAGCCAATTTGAAGCCATTTAGCGGGCAAGAACGCAAACAAAAACTGCGGCCAACTCGGAACCAGAAAACAGACCAAACTGTGGAACTCTGCAACTCTGGCGGGGCATTTAAGCAGGGGCATACCCTTTATACGAGTATAGAGAACGAAATGAAACAGTGGCAGGTCTTGATTTCTAACCAAACAATGCTTTAATGGTCGCCGAGTCGGCAAACAAAGCCAGACAATCAAAGGTAATTACACGCACATAAACACGCAAAAGACGCGATTTCGTGGCTGAGACTGAAGCTTGGGTTAGGGGAACACTGAGAGAAAACTCATGTATTCTATTCGGAGAATATGATAATCAATCCAGTTATAAATCTAGGTTTGGAATAGAGGGTGAACTGTTTTATTCTTTCAAAAACAGAAATATTGCAACCAATCAAGGCCATATAGGAGACTAAAAACCCCCAAAAGAATCTTAACTATTCTGTACCTTCAATATCGACCACATAGTAACCAACAATAAGTTGTAAGTACAACTTAATTTTCTCTTGCTCTCTGGCTGGGACACCTGAACGCGCTTCTCAGACCTTTTTGTAAAAGGTAGCCAAGAGAGAATCACGCAATTTACTATAATTTGCAGGAGAAGATTGCGCAAGTGGAGATGGATGGATGGGCGGGAGATGGCTGGTAGGAAGGGTAGGAAGGGTCCGAGTCGAAGACCGTGGGTCGCCTGCTCCAGTTTCTCGAGATTGCGGCAACTAAAGTTCTTTACACCAGACTGCCGCCACTTTTTGCCGGCTGTCAATGGTGCGGAGAGCGGGTTTATGGGCAAAGTCATTAGGCAGCTGGCGACACTTATCCAGGGGGCAGTTAATTACAAAGTGGCTGCGGTGGCTCAGACATAATTTCACGCCATTTGCGGTGCATAAGAGGCCACTAATGTTGGACTATGACTTGCAGTCAGCTCTAGTTTGCGGATGAGTTCCTTGCCAGTCAAGTGCAGAGTTTTCCGAGGGAGTTAGGAAAGCAGAAGGAAAATTACCTGCAGAAGAAGGGATTCCCTCTGGTAAACTTATTTTTAACTGCCACACTACGAAAGGAATGTTTAGAATGTATTTTGGTAATTTAAATGAAAGTATTTTAGTAGCTTAACTGAAAAGGTAGAAGGTTTGTCCTTCCTTAAAATCAAAGTTTGACCCCTTCTAACAGGGCTACCACTTCTTGTAACATCGAATTATCTGACTAAGCCTCCTTCACCTCTTCTCCTTGAACTCTGCTAATGAGTCTCTGGCAGTATTTTCGGCATTGGCCGACCTTCAGACACTTCATTAGTTTAATTAATAATTGACAAATTTCGTGTCTAATCAGCAGACTAATCATGACCAGCGCCCCGGCCCTAGGTTGCCCTGATTAATTCAATTAGAAGTTTGGATTATGCCGCCTGATTATGCCAAAAATGCTGCGTGTTTATTAATTTTCATCTAGCGGTTTGCTTTGATTCGAATCCTGTCTGTGTGACTTGACTAATTTTCGCTACTTTTCTGCTTTTTCCAGATTACCCCCGAGTCGAGGTTGGACCCCAGAATCCTTTGCGGGTGGAACGTGACCGGACTGCCAAGTTGGAGTGTAACGTGGATGCCAAGCCGAAGGTTCCCAACGTCCGATGGAATCGCGATGGGCGGTTCATCAGCTCCTCATTAGTTCACACGATCCTTCGAGTGAATGTTCAAGATGCTGGCAAGTACACCTGCATTGCGGACAATGGTCTTGGAAAGACTGGAGAACAGGAGCTCATCCTGGACATCCTGTACCCGCCTCAGGTGGTGATAGAATCGAAGACTCGCGAGGCTGAGGAGGGAGATACAGTGACCATTCGCTGCAATGTGACCGCCAATCCTGCTCCAGTAACTATCGAATGGCTGAAGGAGAACAGTCCCGACTTCCGTCACAACGGCAACGTGCTCACCCTGAATTCCGTGAGGGCTGATCATGCCGGGAACTACATCTGCCGAGCCGTAAACATAATCCAAAGCCAGGGAATGGAGCGGAGCGAACGAGTGGGAAACTCAACGGTGGCCCTGCTAGTCCGCCATCGACCAGGACAAGCCTATATCACGCCGAACAGGCCCGTGGTTCATGTTGGAAATGGTGTTACCCTGACCTGCTCCGCCAATCCTCCGGGATGGCCAGTTCCCCAGTACAGATGGTTCAGGGACATGGACGGAGAGTTCTCCAGCACGCAGAAAATCCTCGCTCAAGGTCCGCAGTACTCCATACCCAAGGCTCACTTGGGCAACGAGGGAAAGTACCATTGCCATGCTGTGAATGAACTGGGAATCGGAATGATGGCCACCATTGTCCTGGAGATCCACCAGCCGCCGCAGTTCTTGGCTAAGCTCCAGCAGCACATGACCAGGAGGGTGGCCGATACGGACTACACGGTCACCTGCAGTGCCAAGGGTAAACCAGCTCCCAGTGTTAAGTGGCTGAAGGATGCTGTGGAAATCCTGCCAGAGGAAAACCTCTACGAAGTACAGACCAATCCTGACCAGGGTCTCAACGGCATGGTCACGGTGCAGAGTCAGCTGAAGTTCAGAGGAAAGGCCCGGCCAAATGGCAATGCCCTGGTGCCCGGGGATCGCGGCTTGTACACCTGCTTGTACCAAAACGAAGTCAACTCGGCCAACTCATCCATGCAGCTGAGGATCGAGCACGAACCCATCGTGCTCCATCAATATAACAAGGTGGCCTTCGATATCAGAGAGACCGCCGAAGTCGTTTGCAAGGTTCAGGCCTACCCGAAACCCGAGTTCCAATGGCAGTTCGGCAATAATCCATCGCCTCTGACCATGTCCTCGGACGGTCACTACGAGATTAGTACCACCACGGATAACAATGACATCTATACGTCCGTGCTGAAGATCAACTCGCTGACTCATTCGGACTATGGAGAATACACCTGCCGAGTGGCCAACACTTTGGATACGATTCGAGCTCCCATCAGGTTGCAGCAGAAGGGACCCCCGGAGAAGCCGACCAATCTGAGAGCCACCGAAGTGGGTCACAACTATGTGTCCCTGAGCTGGGATCCCGGATTCGATGGTGGTCTGAGCAAGACCAAGTTCTTCGTTAGCTATCGCCGTGTGCCCATGCCGAGGGAGGAACAGATAATCCCAGATTGCGCCACTTTGGCCAACTCGAACTCCGCTTGGGTGGAAGTTGATTGCCAGCGTGATATTCCCTGCAAGGTGACAGCCCTTGAGCAGCACCAGAGTTATGCCTTCAAGGTCAAGGCCCTCAATCCGAAGAGTGATTCCCCTTACTCCAGTGAAATTATGGTGACAACCAAGGTCAGCAGGATTCCCCCACCACTGCAGGTGACCTACGAGCCCAGCACCCGAACTCTGGGCATCGATGTCGGTGCCACCTGTTTGTCCCTGGTGGCCGTTGTGGAGTCCATGGTGAATGCGGATACTCCAATGCCCACCTGGGAGGTGGTGGCCACCATGGATAACCTTCAGCTGTCCGGAAATGGACCCACCCACAAGGAGAAGGTCATCGACAGAATAATCGGCGCCAGGAGAATCGGAGGCGGACGTGCTTTGGGCCACACCATCAGCGAGGATGAGAATGACAATGGTCTGAACTCTCTGGCCCTCGAGGACGAAAACAGTCCCACTGTGCGGGTCAAGTTGTGCCTGAGGACCAATCCAGAGCACTGTGGGGACTACACGGATGCGGAAAGTAAGTGGAAACTTGTATTATGAAATCGAACATATATTACCAATTAAGGAAGAGGTAGAAATAGCAATCAAAATTCCCAGTTAAAGCCAGATTTACAGGAAAAGTGTGTGGGAAATGCAAGGGTAAAGGAACGTAGCGATGGTTGCCTGGATGGAAACTCTTACCGATGCTGATGATTTCCATTATATGCAAAGCCATTACGAGCAATTGCACCACTTGAATGACCGGCTGCCGGCGGACAATCAATCACTCATCCCGTCAGTGGTCTCGCCGCTCCTTGCCACCCATCCTTCAAACGGCGCACCATCTATCCAGCCATTCAGCCATCCAACCATCCACCAACCAAGGAACCATTCATCCATCCACTTCAACTCCTTGCGATGCATTTTTCATGGCTTCATTTCATCTCGTTCCCAGCTACAGAGCCAAAAACTGGATGCAATTAAGACATTTGGCTTCGAAGTTCTTAAATTAAATACTTAAAATTTAATAAATTTCGTTATTTTCAAGGACATTATTCTAATTGTATTTCCTTTCCTTTCCCTTTAGTTGGCCGACCTTATATAGCAGAGGCCAATGCCCTGGCCACGCCCACTCTGATTGCGATAATTGTGTCCTGCGTGGTCTTCGCCCTCTTCGCCGGCCTGATCCTGATGTTCTGTCGCTGCAAGCGGAATCAATCTAAGAAGAGTGCCGCCGCCAAGGACTACGAAATGGACTCGGTGCGTCCTTCGATTGTGGCTGCCCAGCAGAACCAGGCCCCGCCCCCGTATTACCCCGCCTCTGGCCTGGACAACAAGGCCTTGGAGCACTCGATGGATCTCGCCCTGAGCATGGAGGATCAGAAAACCGCGCTCTATGCCACCCAGAATGGATACAGCTATCACCCTGGAAGTGGGGTGGTGGGCGTTGGCCTTGGAGGCGTTGGCGTAAGCGGAAGCGTGGTCAGCGGAATGGGCGGCGGAGTGGTGGGCGTGGGAGGAATCGGAGGCAGTGGCGTCGGCGTCAATGGAATACCTGGTCTCAACGCGCACACGATTCCCGGAAATGAATGTGAGTAGAAGTCTTATATGTTTTATATTTTTAATTAAGTTATGCATTTTAAATGTATTTTTAAGTCTAGAATTTTTCATACTTCCATCAATTAAAACTAAACTAAAAATCTTTAAGTGTTGCCCACGCAGGGGTGGCGAACAAAAAACTAAAAAATCGACAGCCAAAGTGAGAAATACTTCCGGTTGGGAAAAGTCCTCACAGTCCCTTTTTTATCCAGAGGTTTGGGAGGGCTCACCTCCGTTCGGGTTGCTGTGATTTTTCATTGTCCACACAAATACATACACTTCCTCAGCAAAATGAAATCCGTGCTGACGTTTTAAGGCAAAATTCGGGGAGTGGGCTGGGGGGCTTGAGGTGGCAGGCGTAGGGGGATTTCACCGGGAGCTTTTTTCGAAATTATGTTGCCCCTGAAAATGGGAAAAGTGCAAAACGGAGTTGAGTGCAAATCGATAGAGGCGAGAGCATTCATCAAGCGCGGTTTGTGTTCTGTCAGAAGGGCCCCCTTCTACGCACCTGGAAAACTGGGGGAAAAGCACTTTCAACTTCCGTTGTAAATTTGTTGAAACAGCAATTTTTTTCTAAACGATTCAACATTGCTGTTTGTTGCTGGTCTGCAGCGTTTTGTAATATACTTTCCATTTTGCAATTGTTGCTGTCGTCCATTCATCGTGACGTCCCTTCCGCCCACTTGTCCTCCCACTTCTGGAGTCCCTCGTCAAGTGGGGATTCCCCCTGTTTCTTTTCACCATGACTCTTGTTCTCCGTCCTCTGTTTGAATGCGTAAAACCGGACTGAAGCGTTCTGTTCAGAAAACCTCCCCGGTTTCCCCCTCAGCGGTTTTACACAATTCATTATTAATTGTGCTGGTTTTCATTTTTTTCCTTTTCGCCCACTCACACTCCCACACTTTTTTCCTTTTGGAGATTTAACCTTTCACATGGGGAAAGGAGGAGGAGAGAGCGCGTTCGGCACTTGGTAATGATGTGCAGATTAAAAATTCCTTTTCGAACCACAAACATAGGGCAAGGATCTGCTGTTACTGGGCAATGTGAAATTTCATTTACTTTTATACTTTTTAAGCCGCCAAATAGCAGCAATTCGCTTTGCCAATTTCGTGTTTCAATTGTTTTCGAAGGCCAATTAAAATTTTAAGGCGCTTAGTCTGCCAAGGACTCACCGGGCATTAAGGGGTTAAGGGGGCTGCCACTTAATTGCATTTAAAAACGATTGCGGGAGGAGCGAGGAGGGGGAGTTGCAGTAACAGCTAATTTGCCAAGTGAAAGTGGCATGAATAATAAAGGGTTGCAAGTGCACGAACCGAAAGAGGAAGCAGAGTGTTGGGAAACTCCATTTTCCCCATTTTCCTGCCCCTTCTCCGTTGCATTGTGAGCGCTAATTGCCGCTTAAGGAGCAGAGCAGCCACAAGCGAAGAGCCGAAACACACGGCTCCGACCAAATTGTCCTTTGGCAGATGCAGATGCCCCCAAGCCCCTTACTTCATTTGCCCTGCACTGGGGAAAACGAAAAGAAAAATTAGTCTGATGATTATTCATTAGGAAGAAAGTTCCCAAATCGTAGAAGACTTAAAATTAATCTTACAAAAATATTTAAAAAATAATACATTTTTATCAGAGAATTCCAAACCCAAAAGACTTTCTCCATTATTTTCCCTGTGTAAGAACCCCTTCATTTTATACTTTGTCTACGACTGAGAGTTCTGGCGGCTCATGGCTGTAGTTGCCTGCACTTCTCGGGCTCGTTAACGGCCATCCAATTCGGGTCCTTTGGCGAACCACCCCAGAGCCCAACCCTTCCCCTTCACATGGTGGCCACAATTGCTTTCGACCTAGGCCAAAAACCTAATGAACTTTGCATGTAAACCGGCGACGACAATAAAAACAATCAACTGAAGAGCGAAAGTGCAGCCAGCAGGAGGAGTGGTGAAAGGCGTCGTCTGCTGTTTGGAAAGGCTTTAAGAACTTGAACTGAAGGTGTTCTGGGACTAATAAGCAGCACCAACATATTATAATATGATAGAATGGAAAAGAAGATCTCAGTAATTATCAAACTAAGGAGCCCCTTAAAGTCTTTAAGTTATTTTAAACAAAGTTTCTGGCACTCTCCAGATGAAAGATCAAAAGCCAGGGTCCGGGGTATATATACGGTAAATATATATATTTATATATGGCACACGCCCACGGCTAGACGATGGCTAGGACATGTTCCAGCAAATAAATGCAGAGAAAAACAAGCAGCTGGAATTTGGAAAACCAAATAAATGCAAACAAATGTCGTGGCACACAGAAGAGGCAACCAACCATCGAAAATGGAGGGGGAAAAATAGAAATATAAAAAAATAGCTGGGCAAAAAAAGAAAGAACAGAAGGAATCTCGCGCTCGGCAAATTTATGCGCTAAATAAATAAAGCCATGAACCCGCGCGTCGGGCCAACAAATGTCTGCCATGTTTTAGTTGGGTTTGGTTTAGTTCGGTTCGGTTTGGTTGGGATTCCTCTGGTCGGGGGTTCTCCACTCACTGCCATTCTCTGGGCTGGGGGTTGGGCTTCTGGGTTGGGGTTCCATTCTGTTCAGCTCAGTTCTCCTCTGTTCTGGGCTTAAAATGCAGCCCTGCAAAGCAAATAGCCGCAAAATAGTTTTGCGCGCCCCAAAAACGTAGGCCAAACAGGGGGCTGAAAGAGTTGGGCCTACACTTTAACAGAAAAAAAACCAAAATTTAAAATTGAAATCCCTTAAATATTTTTGGGAGAACATAAAACAAATATTGTTTATATACACGTCTCTTCTAAAATTTTTGTTTGATATTTTCTAAACATATCAAAACTTTATGCCCGATTAACACTTCTTAAAGATTTCTTCGAGTGCATTCCAGCTGCTGAGTTTTAGGACAGCATTTTGCTGCCCTTTGTTCCACTCAATCTGTCTTTTTTTGCAGTGATTGCCTCTCGAACATGTTTGTCTTGTAAGCGAAGGGTTAACACTAGGGGTTCAAGGGGGTCGTCAGCAGCCTTGGCACAGCTGACTGAGTGACCAACCGACCAGCCAACCAACTGACCCAACCCAACCCAAACAAAAACAAACCAAAATCCGACCACACAAAAACAACATTTCGAAGACACCATCTATGAGTTCCAATTTGCTGGCCTTTATTTTTTGCAGCTGGCCGAACTAATTGGCTTAGGCCAAAACACAGTTGGACAGTGCAGAGGAGAGGTCTTTAAATTATTGCTGAAAAATCATCAATACCCTTGACCTGTCGCTGCTGCTTTCAGCCAACTCACTTTCTTGGGCTGGAAATTCTGTCATGCCCAGCTGATCAGGAACAACAAGGCGAATTCCGGGGAGAGTTTCGCTAACAAAGTTATTTTACTTTCCCTTCCACGCAGCCACAGGCTTTTCATTCATTATCCTAGGGAAAAAATCTCAGAAACTGAAGCTGTTGCAGAGGCAGCGGGCCAAACTTTTGGGCCAACTTGGGTGCACAAAGGGCTGGCAGGAAAAGCGGATGGAGCGGCGGAAAAGTGCAACACGGCAAGTACAGGAACTCAGCACTAGTGCGCCACCCTTTCCAGCTTTGCCCTTCTCTTAAAACACAACCCTTGTAGCGCCCGCTACATTTAAGCGCATTTAGGGCAAATGCCAAGCAGCCTCCGACTCTGCACTCTTGACTCTCGGCGTCTCCGAGTCGCGTCGCTAATTAAAAGTGCAACAAGGAAAAGGTCACCCGGGGTTGGGGCAATCGTAGGGAAAATCGTAGGTGCACGGATAGAAAATGGGGTGTACTATTACGACTGCCAGAATATGTTCTATAGACTTGCATTCAAACGTTAACTTATTCTTAAAACTAGTTTCATAGTGACTCTGATGATAGTTTCTAAAGTTAAATATACTCGTACTTGCAAGTAAGGGCCTCTTTTATTTCTCTCTGTGTAGAGTGAGAAACCTAGATAAGGAGCGAACTGGTGCTATTAACACCCCGAACACCCTAAAAACAGCGAACTCGGCTTGAGTTCAGTTCGGTTGAGTTCAGTTGGGAGGAGGCCGAGTTACTGGGATTAAATGTAAGGAGGCAACCGGCACAAGTTGGCCCCCATCCTTAACCGGGGCCGCGGCCTGCTATTTAGTTAACCGTTAATGGCATTTGAAACTGTTTTTATTGTGCGTCTGCTGTTGCTGCTGCTGGCTCTGCTGTTGCCGCTGTTGCTGTTGCACAAAAATGTTGCATAATTGTAAGCGCTTCCGGTTGAAAAGTTTGTCGAGTGAATTAGAGGGAAAAGTTTCCACCAGCCCAAGCACTTTTACATGAAAAGATTCTCCAAGTGGGGAATGGGTTTAATAATAAGCTGTTGGGGAGCGGAAAAGCTGGGGAAAACGGAGGCGTGACTGGGCCAGAACTATGCCGCAACTGTTGTTGTTGTTATTTGCTCAAATCAATGCACAAAACTTTGACAAACTTTAATTGCTAAAAAAATAAAAAATAAGAAGTAGGCAAAATGCTTCCCTCCAGACAATGGAAATGCATTAAAATTTTCATCAGCGAGGGAGGGAAATTTTGTTATTTCGGTCAAATATTTGGCAAACTTGAGCAATCAAAAGTTGCCGCCGACAAAAGATTTGATGCTTATCAAATTGAAAAGTTTCGGTCTTTTTTTTCCGCCCGTATTGCAATTGGAAAATGTATATAGGCAGAATGTTGCGGCATAAAATTACTCGAGCAAATATGCAAATTGGCTGAGCAAATAAAGAGCAGAGGAAAGTTGGTCGCATGAAATGTAAATGAAGTTAATATTATTACTGTTTTAGTTTTATGGCTAATAATAAAAATTATCACGCCCACCAAAACGAGGCATAAAATCGGGGCCCTAAACTCGAGTCGCAGTTCCAGTCCCAGCTGAGGACACGCAAAAAGCGCGCAAACTTGCCATAAAAACGGTGGACAAAAAGCCCCGCTACATACGTCAGGGCCAAGGAGGGGTCTGTCTATGGGCCTGTTTCCGGAACCACTAGCTATTTTAGACCTCCGAAAATATGGCAGTCAATCTGGGGAAGTTCGTTGAAATCGAACATTTTTATTGCATACTTTTTGGTGCGTGAGAAAAATAGTAAGTGCACAGCGAGAATTGAACACTTTAAATGCCTATATCGGCTTCAAATTAAATAAGAGAAATGGGAAATATTTTTGGAGTAAGATTATAAACTCGAAGAATCCTTTTAACCGTGAAAGATCCCCTAAAATACCAAAGATTATACACTTTTGGTAACAATTTTCCGCAGCCAACTCAAAATTCAAAAAGTTTTTGTTTGTCGGCAAGCGTGCGTTTAATATTTATGAGTGATTTATCACGATATAAAAATAATAATAAATGCGTCCAGGCAGCAAGCACGCACCAGCAAGCATAGGGAACAATGAATGAGAATGGAAAAGTCGGTTGGCAGGAGTGGGAAAATGGGAGCACCAGCTGCTCCTCGTCGAAGGACAAAGGCTCCTCCATCCGTTCTGTTTGCCCCATAAAAATTTGTCAAATGGGCTGAAGGAAGGTGGAAGAATTCGGTGCTCTTCAAGGGTTTATGACGTTAGGATGGATTTTAAGTGGCGCACGCGGCGTATGCGCAATGTGATAAACTATTAATTACGCCTTGTCTACGACTTGAAGTTAATAAATTTTATGCCTCTGTCATTTTTATGTGTTAATCAATAAAAATCCGGCCCAAAGTTGGCCCCAACAGCGAGAGCTTCAACTTTGTTTTGGGAGCAAACTTTGGCTTAATTTTAATTAAATTTTATTTTACTGCCAACGAGCGAAAGTTTTACTTGGCCAAAGGCCAAATAGCCCATGTTTTACATGTGAGCGATGGCGGATTAAATGGGAAACTCCACGTTGTTTGTTCTTTATAACATTAATGCCAAGATATATGAATATTTTCCAAAAATAAAGCAAGTTTTAAGACTAAAAATTAAGTTCGGCTGACATCCAGCGTTTTCAGCCCCTTTAATATACATGCATATTTCGCCGCTATGAATATCATTAAAAAGAATAAAACTCTTTTGCGAATTTATGGCATCTGTACTTGTTCGAAAAATGTTCATTCATCATTTATGTTTTTTCTGTTTGTTTCCAGGGGTCAACATGGGCTACATGGAGAACAACTACTCGAATTCGAACAACGGCGGCAGTGTCAACTCGCAGGATTCCTTGTGGCAGGTGAAGATGTCGGCAGCAGCGGTGAACAGCCAACAGGGCATGGTCCAGGCCCCTCTTAACCAGTATGTGGAGCAGCAGCCCGCCTACGGATACGATCCGTTGACCCACGGAGGCTATGGGGCGGTGGACGACTACGCCCCCTATCCCCACCTCACGGCCACGCCCAGCCAGGTGGGCGACGAGTACCACAACTTGCGCAACAGCCAGAATCCGTCCCGGCAGGACTACTGCAGTGATCCCTATGCATCCGTGCAAAAGCCGAAGAAGCGAGTCGATCAGCATTTAGGTAAGTCGTTTGAAGAACTTAAATCTAGGAATGTGGCACTCTCAAAAGAGTGCCGTCTGATAGTCACCATTTAGATAGGTGCATATATGAGGCATTACCAAATTCTTACTTAAATTTTACTAAGAAACACTAAGTATGTTTTACAGGAAAGTGAGTTGGCGCTTTCCGAAGTAAAATCCATTAGAACATGAGTAACGAAACTTATTAGTGGGAAGTTCCCACTCTTTCGTGAGAACAAGATGTGAACAAAATGTGAATGAATGCCGATAAAGTAATGAGAGGAAGGCGAACTGCAGAAAATTACACATAGATTGCGAAGAGATTTGTTAGAGAAACTTTTCCCGTATTTTGATTGATAAACTTTTGCCGAGCCCTAGGACCGACGGACCATCCGACCAACGACCCAAAGTTTCTATTTTCTGACACATTAAGCTGCTAGACTTTCAGAGGCATCCAGACCTAGGAAAAGAGTAAGGTACTGGCTTCCAGATTCGGCGAGTTTGGCCTATGTCAAACGAGTGGGCCGAAGAAAGTGAGAGGGGCCAACATTTCTGTTGGCATTTTGGGCTTTGGCTCGCTTTCAGTTATGACAAGTTAAGCACTGGGTTCCTGAAATGTTTTGCGCCCTTTTCCATGCTAATTATAAGAGGTCAGCGGGGCGGGACATGCTGCAAATAAATATTATTCGGCAATATGCTGCTATGCTGTTCGAACATTTGGTCTCGGCTTAAAGTCTTTGTCAAGTTTGCTTTAAGTTCACCCGAGCACGAAACACCAACCGCAGCAAAAGCAGCAGAATCAACAAGGACGAAGTGGGCGGCGGAATGTGCAGGATATGGGGGTGCCCTTTGGCGTCCACAGCTTGTTTTTTGGGACTGTCTATTGGTGTGTGCGAGTGTAAGTGTGTCTGTGTGTGAGCTCGAATTTTTGCGGAATCCATTTCTGCCGCATGGCCCTTGTTGTTATATGTGTTTTATTATTTGTATACTCTGCAGGGAACAGGCAGTGTTCCAGCTTTGACTGATGTTGGTCTTTTAGTCTTTGTAAAACAAAGAAGATCGAATTAATATTATTAACTGTATTGAGAATGCCATTTTCGGTTATGTTGCTTGCCAAAATCTAAATCAAGGAGTTTTAGAAGAAGTAGAAATAACAATAAATTGATATACGAGAGTATCCAGATGTCCTATACATCTGAACCAAATTTTCCATATTGTTTGTTGTTGTTATTGCGATGCCAATAACACCGCAAGTGTTTTAAAATATTAAATAATAAAAAGCGAACCGAACCGAAGCGAAGCGAATGAAAACCCAAGATGAACAGCCACAGTGAGAGTTTTGAGTTGGATCAGCAGCAGTGGTGACTGTAAAGCGCCAGCGGGTCGTATGCGTAATATTCCCCTCTCTCTCTGTTTTTGCTGTATGTGTGTGTTAGCCACAACTATGAGCGGTGTGCTTGTGTGTTATCTTTACGCTTTATGAGCACCAAAACCCGAAAAAAATACACTTTTGGTAGCTTGGTTCTTGTTGTTCTTGGGCGGTTTTTATTGCCCTGGACTCGCAGGACGGTGTTATTGTTTTTGTTGTTGTTGCCGTTGAATATTGTTAGCAATTTTTTGTTGGCTCAGACCTTCCTTTACTCACTCCTTGCATATAAAATGCAATAAAAAAGGAAGAGGACCAAAAAAAGGTACTGGAGGCTGCACACCCTGTGTCTCTTACTCACTTTTTCTGTTTTCCTGAGGTTAAACGCAAAGCACAAACACGAAAAATGCAAACTAACTCTGGGAAAAGTGTGTTGTTTTCGGCCAAGAAGTGCACAGTGCAGGGAAACAATAAAGAAAATATTTGTAAAAAACGAAAGAAGGAATCTATCCGTGCATGTCAATAAAATGCAACAGCACCATCGGAGAAGAGCAAGGTTCAAGATACAAGCTACCAGATAGACGATAGATCCCCACGAGGGCCATCAAAAGCAAAGCAAACTTAAGGGGTAGTGCCTCTGAAGAGGGTTAATGTAAAATGTGGGGGCTAAGAGGACGACCACGACGAACACAAGGCGGGTTGAGAGTGGAAGAGCGAGGCAGCCAGCAGATTGACAGTGCTACAATATGCAAATACATCTTCATTACATTGATGTCAGCTTATGCACAGCTTGCAAATGCAACTGAATGTCGGCTCCCTGTATGTGTGTGTGTGTGTGTGTGTGTGTGTTAGTCTGTCTGTGTTTGTATGTTTAAAAGCTTTTACACTTGCCAAACTCACATTTAAGACCCCTCATCGCTCATTCTACGGTCCCCTTCCCCGTCCGCTTTCCTCCAGAACCCCGCTTGACTTTTGTGCCATGGAAAATGCAGCTAGTGCACTGGCAAAAATACTCTTCACATTTTCATTTCAATATTAAATGCAGTTTGGGTTCTACGGAATTCTCTTGGGTTGTGGATGAGTTGATAAGTTGTAAGACTCCCTGTGTTTTCCACTGTGTAAATGAGAAATCAACGGATGCACGCCGAGGGGAAAGGGGAGCTGGCCATGGCCGGAAGGAAGTCTGCGGCAGGCGCCAAAAAGCTGCGTAAGCAAATTTTTTGCTCATCTTTTAACATGCAAAGAAGGCTGCACAGAATAAAGATTGGGGCCACGAATATATGTGGATACATGCATATATATAGAGGAGGGAAATTTTTGGGGGACCGACAGACAGACACACCAACTGACTGATTGATTATGCAGACTTTTGTGTCAGTTGGTTGAGCGCCTTTGTTTGGTCTTTTGTCAAACAGACTGGCACACACAGTGGCCCACAGGAAATGGCTTTAATTCATCATTAGGGCAAGGAGTGGAGAAAGCCAGCCGCAAGACGGGGAACAAGACGGAGATTATCCCGGGCTTTTAGCAGATTATTCAAATTGCTACTTCATGAATATACATAAACGATTTTGATTAATATCGGAACATATGCTTCTCATACTTTTTCCGGGTAATGTAATTGGGGGTATGACTTATAAGTCAGCGAAAGTGAAGGATAAGTGCTTTTGTCCTATTTAAGAGTTAAGAATATATGGGTAAGACTTTCTTTAAATAATAAGATAATCAATAGACCTTTAAAAACAAAAGACCAAAGTCCTTGTCTCTGCCAACTATCTGATGATTTAAATCCGAACAAATCTGTTTTCGCCATTTCGAAGCCCCTTTTCGCCTGCTTATCGCTCGCTGAAAGGCTCATAATGCAGTTTGCTTTTGGGATGAGCAATAAATGCCAGGAAAACTTATTCAAAGTGCCATAAGAATCTTGTCCCGGCCTCGCAGTTCGCTTTCTCCTTTCTTCTGGACAGCTTCCAAATAGTTGCAAGGATGTGGGAAAAGGGAATCACATAAATCACATGAGTCAGGATTTTCGAAACAAGAACGGGGAAGAGGGAAGAGGGAGAAACAGCAGGAGGCGAAACACACTCCGCAGCACTAAACACACTCTAAGTGGATTTGCGAGATGAGACGGGGGCTAAGAGCAGCTAAGAGGGCCCAGAAGAATCGGGTGGCGGACAGGAGAAAGCCAGTGGCCAAAAGGCAACAAATGATAAGCGCTTTAACCCCTTGTTCTATGCATGAGAAAGTGTTGCCAACCAGTTTGTTTGTATGTTGCTGGGATAAACTCATCTGCAATTTGTTTACTTTCGACGTTTCCGAAAATTTACTAAAAAAGAATGGGTTATTACGAGCTTAGCATAGCAAAAAACTTGGCCAAAAGAGGCTAAAACAACACACTCACACTCACACACGCCCGCATTTTGAGAATTTGCATGGAGAGACAGCTGGGCAAAAAAGGCAACAGTGCGTATGCTTAACGCAAAAACGATTAAGTTGTTGAGAGAGTCTGAATGGAAATTGAAAAACAGCAGGAAAAACCACTAGCCAAGGGGGCGCTTTGGTTACGTGGGCGTGGCACAATAAAGTTATGCGCATAATATCCTCAGCTCACGTATTGGCCATAAAATGCTGGCAAGAGGAGAGCGCCAACAGGAGCCAAATCTTGAAGAGTTGAAAATCTACGAAGGGAAATAGTTGGGAAAAAGGATTGCCAGCTTTCCTGGCTAGCTCGCTAGATGGCGGACTGAATGGCTTTCCCTTTTCCCTTCGCTTTTTGGGTCAAGTTCATGCAAAATGCCAAAGTGGAGTGGAAAAAAATCCAAGGGGCGATGGCGACAAACGCGCTCAGGAATTTTCACACGACCAAGAAGACGGAAAAAACGGGTAGGGGTCCGGTGAAGAAAAGCCAGTCGCACGAGACGGAATATGTTAAAGAGCAGTTGTTAGAAAGGATTTACGTTTTACATTCGAAGGCACAGGGAGAAAAATAGTCGATTAATTATGAAGAATCAAATCATAGAAAAATAAATAATAAAAAAGTATTTTTTTAAGAGATTCTCTTTTTGCTGATGCAAGTTTTAGAAATTTGTTTAATATTTACAAAAATTAGAAACCACCACCAAGAAATCCGTTTCTTCCTGTGCAGAAACGGGTCAAAAAAGGAGAGACAGGAGTGAGACATTCACACATTGGTATTTGGCCAAAAAAGCATTTCGATGCGGCGATTTCGTTCTCGCTCTCTTTTTCCTTATTTTGAAATTCAAATTCCAATAAATTTTCCAACGATTTGGCACACAAAGCAATCCAAAGCAGCAGAGAGCCAGCAAAAAAGTTAGGGGCTTAAGTGTGGGAATGCGTGGGGTTGTTAGTGCTGAATCCTTTGCTGGATTTGCATGGCCAAAAGAGCTGCGGACATGGCTCGAAGTGGTGAGATGGAGGGATAGAGATGGGGATGCGCTTAAATATGCAACAATTTGTAGCAGACAAAGATGTTTGCCAAAGCGGCGGGGGAACGGTGCCGCTGCAGCAGCCAAGTCCTTTGATTATAAATTAATGCCCTGTTTACCAGAGACAGAGTCCACCCTAAACCAAATGCCAGAAAACGCCTCTAACTCGTTTAGGATTTCGATAGGGGCGACAAATGCAGCAATCTGTGCTGCAATTGGACGTCGTTAGTGAGGGCAATCAACTGGTAAATTAAAACAATTGCCTTTGGAATAAAACACAAAAAATACAGCTGACAATTTGAGGCTTTGATGGACTTAACTGAACTGGGAACCAAGCCCTTTAAAATTTTAAGTTTTTGAATCAGAAAGAGTTTTTGCCTTCATTCTAAGCTAGACCTTAAGTATTAGCGTGTATTACTTGTTCCCTAATATGGCTATTTTTCTCTACTACTCTCACACATGTCTTGCCCACTCATAAATCCAAAATATTAAAAACAAATCGAAACCATAAACAAATCTGTAGCGGACATTATACAGGATGTTACGCTCTAACGGAGCGCGCAGGCTGAAGTAAGTTGAAATCGGCAAGGACATCATATGAAAATCGAGAACTAAGCCCAAATTCCATTACTGTGATGATGCAGAATTTTTGAGTTGCCTAAGTTTGCTATGATTTTTCAAGCCTACGCACAGACAACCCAGCCCAGCACCCGAAAAACACTGTTTTGATTAGCATTTTGTTTTTAATTGTTTGAGCATGACTTTACCGCTTTTCCGCCCATTTTGGTAAACTAATTTAAACAATTTTCGTGCTCTCTCTCCCAAAACAGATTCACCATATCACGACGTAAGCGGCCTGCCCAATCCCTACAACATGGAGCACTTGGAACAGGACGAGGTCCTGCCACCGCAGCAGCACATTTCCCTCAGCTACGACGACAGTTTCGAGGGTGAATATTCGACAACGCCGCATGCCAGGAATCGTCGCGTCATACGCGAGATTATTGTCTAGGAAAATCTAGTTCGAAAGCGTAAAATCAGCACTCAAAATATTCTGTAAACACCATACACACACTCTTACACACACACACACACGCTAAATTCCATGATCATCGACGCGAAATCACCCATTTTATTCTCATTTTAACTTCCTGCTCGACTGCCAGCAGCAGATCTTTTGAAAAGTGGCCATTTTGAATACTTTTTTTAATATATTACTTCGATGTAAGTTTAGTTTGAGGGATAGGACGAACGTGTGTTGAGTTTTATTGGCAACGAAAGATATATACATATATATACCATATACCATATACCCTAGGATTAGAGTCGCGATCTATCATTGCTCTAGTTCAGCACCTTGTTGACACAACACAACACAACACTATACGACGCGACACTGAGAGAAATACAGCCCGAGAAACACACGGATTAAACCATCACTGGACAAGCACTAAATGTTACGATTTACCAGGTAGCATAGAGCTAAGTAGTAGTTAATATTAACGGTCATCTAGGTCCCAGTTGCAACAAACGAACTTTAAACTGTAAGCAGAAAGGCGGAATTACGGAATTACGGAATTTCGATCGAAACAAAATCTCACTTTTCACCTAGGCTTAGGCTAATTAACTCGTAAGTGATTCTTGTTGGGTCTGTGCGGTGTTCGCGGGCACAGGTCCACGAAAAGTAAAGGATATACATAAACAGTACGACCTGCCACAGAAAATCAAGAAAAACACAAAAAAATCGAAACAAAGGAAACAAAACTTACCTTAAACTAATTTTAAATTTTTAAATAACTCTGAGAAAAACGAAAAACAAAAAACGTTGCTTTAAGTAAGTTATATGATACGAAAACAAAACTAAAGTACAGAGAACTTTAAAAAATTATTAAAAATAATTGAAAAAGATTAAGAAAACATAAAAAAAAAAAAAAAAAAAAAACAAAAAACAAAAACAACAAATCCTCCATTCAGAAAACTTTAATTTAATTTACAAAATTTAGCAACTAACTGTTCTGTTTTCCATTCGTTCAAGCTTTGTGTTGAAATTCAAAATTTTAATTGTAATTACCTGTAATTAAGCCGACTAGGAAGTTATGTTGACCACGCATACCTATTGAGTTGAATATAAATGTTTTGTTTGTGCATTGCGTTGTGTTTTTAACCCTTATCGTGTGCTTTGCAACTTTTTGACAATGGCACGGACACGGAGACGAGAGAGGAAACACTTTTTGTAGCTAAGACTTAAATGTAAATACATGTGTAATTGTATATATTTACTTGACTTGCAAAGTAAATAAGCAGCAGCGGCAACTTAAATTAAATTGTAGTTAATTTTAAAAAATTTCAAAATGAATTTAATTAGTAAGCAAGTGTTTAAGAGCAAATGCCACAAAATAAAGCGGATAAAACGAATTAAGAAACCTTAAGCAGACATGAAAATCTCGTTGAATGAACAAAACAGAATATACGAGCGGGAAACTTTATTATATAAATTATACACTCTAAACCAGATAAGCGGATATACATTATATATATACACGTACATATACATATACTTATTATTTGTAAATAAGTAAAGCATCATTTTGATTTGAAGGCCCCAAGCGAACCGGAATCCATTCAAAATATATTTCCAAACTCTACAAAAACCGAAACAAGAATCAAATCACATTTTTTATTTAGCAAAATATTTATAAATATATTTTGCAATTTGACTGACAGCAGTGGAAGTGGCACACCAAACACAAAAAACAAAACACAAAATACGAAATACAAGCGATAAAGAGTAGAGACAGAAACGGAGGCCCTCGGGCTGGTCAAACAATAAAACACTTTGTTAACTATTTTGTATGCATTTCTGATTTCATTCAATTCAACAAATTGCCACCCCACAAAACGGAAAGCAAAACATTAGCTAAAATATTTATGCATACACACACAACACACTCATTCAGTCACACACACGAAAACAAACATATAATATTTTTTTATTCAGTTTTAAAACGAAAAGTAAAAATAAAGCAAAACATCAAAAAACGAAGAATTTAAATTAAATGCCCTGTGTTTTGATTGGCTGTGGTTGCTCACTCTCAGCTGCAGAGCTGGCTCTGGTAATGGCGAATTAAATATATTTTTTGGTTTTTAAAATAAATTTTGTTTATTAAACATGATGGATTTGGGTTTGTTGGCTATTATTAAATTATTTTTTCGGTACGAAAAGTTTTCTCCAATTTAAAGACCCCGAAAAACGAGGCTGTGGGCGTGGCGGCAGACATCAGCATTAATAACAAAGAAGCAGCAGCGGCAGCTGCAGCTGCAGGCGTTGCATAATGTGCCATGTTTAAGTTGATTGGCACCAAATTTATAGCATGCAATTTGACTTAAGTGGCAGTGCAGCACTCCGGCACTCTGGCACTCTGGAACTCTGGCAACCCTGGCGGGCAATCCCGGCGCCGGAAGTAACACGACACTGACATTTTAATTTAGTGCCAAGCGCAGGACCTCTGGTCCCCTCCGCCTCCTCCCACTCCACGATTCCCTTCCTGTTCGTGTCACTTTTGCAGTTTTGCGTAAGAAACGAAAGTCAGCCACTTCGAATACCGCTGACAGCTGGGAAAAGCGGCAAATCGGGAGAAGTGGAGGCAAATGCCAGACATCAGCTCGAAATCAAACGGAAGACGATTAACAACCAGATAAGTGGATTAAAGACGAGTTTATTTAAGTAGTTGTATTCGAGGGATTGCGGAACACAATAATATAGTTTAAGAATTAAGGCAAATAAAGATTAAAGAAGGGATCCTTGTTTCCCATTTATTAAAGTTTAAACTCAACCTTACTAGCTTTAAAGCGATTCCTTTTTTCTGCGCGTGCAATCGTTTGAAATGGAACGTAAACAAATTCCTCCCCATTTCTTGCCCTGCTCCAGCTGCACTTCGTGGTATGTGGGCCACAGAGCAGGAACAGGAGCTGTCAGATGTCCCATATAAGCTCACAAAGAGCCAGGCAGCCAGGGAGCCTCCGCTGAAACGAACCGCAGTCATTCATTCATTTATATCTCGGTGGTGAAAACAAAAGCGGCATATGGAAATTCATTTACTCCACTCGGCTCCATTCTTAACCCGTGAGCGAGCGGCCCCTAACGCCTTAACCCGCCCGTGACCAAGGGTGGCTCATCCAGCACGTAGCCGGCAACCGCCGTCAATTAAAGCGCTGCCGGTGGCGCCTAATTGGATTTATGCCACATTTATGTGTGTAGGTGCAAATTCGCGGAATCGCAATTGCGGGCCTGTCGGGAAAGTCGTGCTAAAAATCAGCAGGATAATGAGCGAGGAACGGCTGCCATTAGGCGCGGTAGAAACAGTCGAACCCACAAACTTAGTGCCTCTTCATCCACGACCGCAACAACAATTGCAACTTTCGAGGACTTTAAATGAAATTACGCGAAAACTTTCGGACTGCCATCAGAAGTGGCAACTTTTTGAAGAGATCGCCAGGCGGTGTAGTTCCTGAATCCCACGAATGCAGCCGATGGCACGCCCGCGAACATAATGAGTTCCATAAATTACCGCAAATTAAAGACCCGATGAGGAGTCATCCTTGTACCCAAGTGGATGCACCACAAACAGGGAAGTCTAGTAGTAGGTTACTCTTTATGGGGAGTATATGATAAAAAAAAATAAAACATATTGCAATTTAGCAATAATTAAAAAAGCTATATATATGCTGCATTTATCTGACTAAAATAATCATTTTTCTATCTTCCTTTTGTCAAATATTTAAAAAATTGAAGAAAAAAAGATTGATCTATATGCATAGATTCCCTTCTGAATACCCAGCTCGGCTTTCCCTGGGCACTTCGATTGAGAATACCCCACATCGCCATCGTCCATTCTGTTTGTGTGTGTTCCGCGGTCATTGGTTTGTAATTAATGCGACCAGAAGCTGACCAAGGAGCGACTTGCCACGCCTGCGGCGGCCTAATGTTGCACGGATCCAAAAGCCGGACCCAAAGCGCCCGAGTCGGAGGTAAATCGCCGGAATGGCCCGTCTGTCTGCGGTTTCCCTCCACGGATGTGGTGGCCAGGGGGACTACTAGGTGGCTGGCAACATCTCCGATGCCTCGTTGAGTGCTTTTGTGTTTAATTTTATTAATTATCGACGTAATCTTTGAACTTTGGCGCCCCGACTCCCGGCGAACTTCAACTTTTGGGGCCTCACATCTCGCAGAAGCAAGGCGCCTCCATTAATCGCGTTAACTCGAACGTGTGTGTCAGTCCTTGGTGCTAAATTCGCCTGCACAACTTGAGGGCGAAAGTTCCAACAAAACACAATTAGGTTTTTGGCATATGCAAGGGAAGAGAGCAGCTGACGGGGAGGTTACGTTCTGGTTCCACTTAATCTAATAATTCATTTATTCAGTACCAAAACACCCAAATATCTGAGATAATTATACAAGTGAATGAGTAACCCATTTGCGAGATGTCTATTGATTTGATCACTGTCTGTCTTTTCTTTCTATGAATTTAATATATCAAAAATCAACTGCCTTACTAAGCTTTTAAGAATTTGTTACTAGGGAAAGCTAAAACAGGATGTGAATAATTTTAACATTCTTGATAACCGTCTGAAAATTCCGCTGAATATAACGACTTTTCCCATATAATAAATTATTAAATCATTTTGAATCATTTGAGTTATCAGATAATGCGAACGCAAATGAGCTGTATATATAAACTTCTTGGAATAATTCAGCTGAATCAGAGTACATAAGAAACCCACTCAGCACCACAGCGCTATGTAGTTCCTTCTTTACAATCTCGAATTCAAACGATTCGATATATATATATTATCAACAATTTCCTTTCAAAGCTTTAGCTAACTTGCTTTCTATTGAATGGTTTCCAAAATATCCCAATTTGATTTGGTTATCTGCGTTACCATGTCAGGCCTTTTCACGGAACTTTTAACCTTTCGCAAACCGCCCCCTGGACCCATTGCCCTAGCAGCGAACCTCCCCTGGTAACAGCTGCTCATTTGCTGCTAATCCTGGCCACCGATTGGGCTCTTTCGGACCTCTGAAAGGAATTCCCACCAACCGAACCACCGTCATTGCCGGGCAACTAGACAGCCAGTCGGTGGTTGAGTCCGTAATTTGAGCGCAAATATTGAAGTTTCAAAACCACCGGCAACAGTGGCTGCTGCCACAAATAAAAGAATAATAATAATAATGAGCAAATATTTAAGCAGCCGGGAACTTATCGTAGGAACAGCGACGGCAAGGGAGCTCAGCTCTCGATCTGGCTACACGGGAAAAAACGAATGCAGATACTGAATTTGGTTTTCCTTTCTCTCAATGTCAATGTAAAATGTGAAATGCATAAATCAAACTATATATAAAATTAAGAGTTTTAAAATATTTCAAATATTATAAAAATAATAAAAATTAGAGCGTGGCTTATTTTCTCTATGCATCCAGGAGTTTGCCTGACAAGGAACATCCCCCAGATGGCAACACCCTTCGTTTCCCAGTTTTGCTGATTGTAATTATGACTGAAATTTGAATTGCTGGCGGGAAGGAGGGGAAACGGAGAATCAGAGAATGGGAATTCGCTACACTTTCCGTTGCATTTTGCCGGACACGTGGCAGTTGCTGATCCCCGGTCACGTGGCCTTCGCCAGCCCGTTAGACCCATTCCCCCACCGCCACCCATTCCGAGCTCATCGGAAGTGCCAATAAGTAGTTGTCAATATTGACTGATTATCTCGACACGGCGAAAGTGGGGGAGATTTGCAGGGAGATGCGGAGAAAGCGACGGTCGTGATTGCGAGTTGTTTGAGCTTAAGCGGAAGCAAACATAAATCACAGCAAGAAGCGCCACCCTCGGCAATTATTTTCCAGGACTTTCCAGGAGATGGCCATAATTAAAGATTGCAGGCGACAGGAAGAAGCTGCTACCATTTAGTTCCATTCCCCTGCAATCCAATCCGACCGGAGATCCGTACATCTGCATTTGAATGGCGATCCGAGACGATATTACAATCGTGGCTTAGTGCTGTAATAAGGGAATGAACTAAGCTAGAAGTCAGAGAGTTCCAGATGGTGGAGATCTCGATCTATGAATTTCCCGTTTCTGACTAAACACTACCTTATCATCGAAATATATATCCCCTCCTTATAGGGGCGATAACCATTTTGTGTGAGTAATTATTAAAAACAGAATTAAAACTTAAATTTTGATAACTCAACTTCCAAAGAGGTATATATTTCAGGCAATAGTTTCCTCTTAAGTTCAGTCGTCTTCGGACTTTCGAAGTTCGTACAGCCATGACATTTTTCTGTGCTCTTGCAATCCTTCTGCTTTGCAGCTTAGTCCCAATACAAGGAGGTACATGTAAGCCTAGCTACCCATTCGAGAACGGAAAGGTTGAAGAGAAGAATGGTTCCCAATTTCTAAGGTGCAATGAAGGATTCACCCTGCTTCCTAGCTCGGAAGTGAACTGCACAAATGGTGTTTTTCCGGAGGAACCAAGGTTCTGCGCCAGTAAGTAACATACCAAATATTTGTGGAAGAGACTTAAAGCCTTATTGAACCATTAAAATTATTAATTCATTTTTTAAATATACTAGAGTCGGGCTGCAAGGAGATTGAGAAGCCCGAGAATGGAACTATTACGTATTACAATGATAAACTGGAGAGCAGGACTGATTTCACTGCCTCTTGCCTGAAGGCGGAGATCAAGTGCGCCGAAGGATTCATTTTAGCCGGAAACGACACTACTTACTGCAACGGAGAGCAGTGGCTCCTTAAATTGGGAAGCTGCCAGGCCAAGGTTAAACAAAACAAAGACGCACATTCCACGGATGTAAAGGAACCCATTACAAATGAGAAGTCTATATCGAAGAAAATTGGCACTGCTGAGACAGAAAACAAGACATCAGACACTAAGCAGTCTCATGACAAGACATCCAACCCAACAAAAGCCCCAAAGGAACCCAGTAACCCACATCAGGCTCCAAGCAAAACAACAGCTACATCGGAGAAACCCAAATCGGGCTCCAATGGTGAAGACAAGTCTTTGAAGAAAGACAAAAAGGCAGCAGAACTCAACAGCGCTCTGTCAACAGCACTTAACACAACGGCTCTAAAGGAAAAAGTCTCAAAAGCCGCAGATGCAGCAGTAAATGCCGGAAAAGATGTCATAAATTGGGTTAAAGATGGTTCAATACTGAAGAACAGCGGTGCGAATCAGTGGGGAAAGTTTTGCTTAGCCTTGCTCATTGGGGCTGTACTTGCACTTATTTTTAAATGAGAACCTAAGTAGTTAGTCAAATTATATAAGACTCTAGTAAGTATGCAGATGACTCAGGGAGAGTAAAGGAAATAAAGAGTCTGCCAAAATAAGAAATCGAATTTGTTTTTAATCAAATGAGAAGGAACTTTTATTTCAGCCAACATAGAATATATCGAGTAAGAACTCCAGAAATTACAACTTGAGTTCGGTTGTTTTAACTTCTAAAATATTTCATGAGTTCTGAAGTAACAAGCAGTTATCTAAAACGAGTTTGTTCATATAATTACAAAACAGAAATCGAGACACTCTGCACCGAAATCTAAACTGGAGATTATGCAAATATTTAAAGTTTCTTAAACAAAAACATTTCAGCAAGATAAGAATGTGCGTATTACTCACTTCATGTTCAACGACTACGCTCAGTTCAGTCGGTGCTTGGCTGCCAAATTTATACAATCGCAATGGCTTTGGCGAGTGTTTTCTGGGCACTAGCAATGCTTGTCTTACTCACTGTGGGGGAATCGACTGCCAGCTGTGATCTTGAAATAAAGTTAGCGAACGGGAGAGTTAGGGAGTCATCTAGCTGGTTCCCAGGTGACTACATCAAATTCGAATGCGATCTGGGATATTCCCTGCAAGGCAAAACGTGGCACCTAGGCAGCGGCAGTATTCCGAGGCGTTTCTGCACCAGTAAGTGGAAGTGATGTGCCGCAGGGAAAGGAATGCTTATTGGTTATATTAAAAACTAGTAAATAAAACTGAAAACATTTTGTTTCTAGAGTCGGGTTGCAATGATTTGGCAAAACCGGAAAAAGGAATAATTACCACCACGGACGATGGCTTAAAGGCAGAGATCGCGTGCGATGAAGGATTCGTTCTCACCGGAAACCGCCTGACTTACTGCAATGGAACGCAGTGGATCATCCCGCTGGGAACCTGTCAGGCGGCCAGTTACGCCAGTGACTACTCATGCGACTTTGAGAGGGAGGATCAGTGCGGTTGGAAAGCCAGTAAGGCCATACCGCAGCCGTGGACGCGGACTAGCGCTGCGTCTGACTACCACAGAAACATGTGCCTCCACCAGGATCATACCTTTCAGAACGGCGTCGAAGGACACTTTATCCGCTTGCAATTGCAAGTACACGCTTCCAGAACCTACCACTTCGTATCCCCGATTCTCCCCAGAAATCTGACTTTAGGCAACTCCTTGCGGTTTCACTTCCAACTCTTCATGTCCGGGACGAGAGTGAAAGACCTGACGGTGTCAGTGAAACCCGAATCAATGGCAGTCGAAGAGATGTGGTTGGGTTTCAAGAAGAAGTAAGTCAGTAATAGGAGATTACATTCAAAGAATTAAAATTTTTATCACTTAGTTCCACCAAACTAACTGTGTCTGGCGATCAAGGCGCCAGCTGGAAAGAGCCATTCGGTCCCCATCCAAGAATTAAACACGGACTTCCAGGTAGTCTTCACAGTGGCGGACCCCAGTTCCCTCTCTGGAGAAATTGGGATCGACGATGTGAGGTTTATAAAGGAAAAAGTATAGAAGGGAGCATGCAAAAACATTTTAAAATAAATAACATATTTGATTTCCTTATATTTTCTAATGAATCATTGGAAACAAGAATCTTATGGGAATGTTTTGAATGACTGGCTGATAAAAACAAAATCTTAATAAAATGCCTTGATTTTTGCCTTTGATAGTTTTGCCTCAAATGGAATTGGGACACGATAAGAAGAAACAAAGTATATAAAGCAGCTTTCGCTTATATATAACTATATTGGTGTATTTTATGTACCTACCAAATCTTTTTTAAAGTAGAATTCGATCTCAGCTCAGTACAGTCGGTTGGAGTTTTTTAAACAATACGCATCTTGCAATGGCTGTTTCAGCCATCGACCTTGTCTGTATTCTGGCAGTACTTATTCTAAGTTACTTGGGCTTAAGCAGCGCGGATTATTGTGAGGAACTCGTGACTTTAGACAATGGATCAATGAACACTTCTTACGGTCAACCAAAATTCAGTTGCAATTCCGGATATACCTTTCAAGGAAGTATCATTAAGGAATGCACAAATGGTCTTGTGAGAGGAGAGAGAATATTCTGTACCAGTCAGTATTATCAGTAAAAAAAATTGGCCCATAATCTGCGGATAAAAGTCAATCAGCAGTTTACCCAGAAATAATTCTTCTACATGATTTTTCACATTTTTCAGAGACGGGTTGCAAGGAGGTTCAGAGCCCGAAGAACGGATCCATTGTCTCTGTCGAAGGCCTAAAGGCGGTTGCGACATGCGATGAAGGATTCGTTCTTTCCGGAAACAAGGTCACTTACTGCAACGGAGTTAATTGGAACACTGACTTGGGAGAATGCTTGAGGATCAATGCCACAGTGGACTATTCCTGCAACTTCGAGACAGAAGATCAGTGCGGTTGGAAGGCGAATGACGATCAGAGCAATCCATGGAGGAGGATCAGCGCTGCCAATCACTTCCACTCCATGCGAACGGGTCCCCAGAGAGATCACACTTTTCAAAGCGACTCCAAGGGACATTTCATTCGCATGGAAACAAGCTCTTGGTTCTTTTACGAAAGCCACTTTGTATCCCCGATATATCCCAAGAACCTGACTTCAGGGAACTCCTTGTGCTTTAAGTTTCACGTATTTATGTATGGACAAAACGTCAGAGATCTGGTGGTGTCAGTCAAGCCCGAAAAAATGGAAATTGAACTTATGAGGGATGAGTACAAGAAGAAGTACGTTTAGTTGGTAATAGTATTCTGTCAGTTCTGTATATGCAAAGATCCGTAGAGCCTTTTAAGGGTTTTATATCTAATCTACCTATTCACCGTTTCAGCTCCACCAAATTTATTCTGTCTGGCGATCATGGCCGCCAGTGGCTTAGCTATTCAATCCCCATCGACGAGATGCAGGAGGACTTCCAGTTGATCTTCACAGCCACGTCAACCAATTCCCTGTTTGGGGACATTGGAATCGATGATGTTGAATTGGCAAATGGCGATTGTAGGAAGAATTTTGTCCCAGAAACCACAGAGTCTTTTGAAGACCCGATGGTCGAAACCACCGAAAACACCGAAAACAACGAATCCGCCAACTACAACGAATACGCCGACTACAACGAATCCACCAAAAACACCGAATCAGTGAACATGAATGAAAATTCTACAGAAAGCACACAAGTGCAGAGTGGGGCAATGGGCTATAAGAAGTTTGGAATATGCAACATTGCTTTGCTAACTTTCGCGATGATTACACTTTTACTTAAGTAAGCCGCTTTATTTAGAATTCATATTTTTCATTTTGGTTTTTAGCTTTAAGATATAATAGCAAGAAACTTTTTGAATTAAACTTACTCTGCGGAGGCAGAGTATTCTCATGTTTAGTCCCAACATTCTTGCTCCTTCAACAGATTATATTTCTTTATAATAACTAGCGTAATGTTATTATATTTATATTATATTTGCGATTGGAGTTTGTTTCTCTAGTGAATGAAAAATAACCAGCTTGTATGGAATTGTGAATGAACGATAAAAAAGTTATCAGCAGTTGCGGTTTTCTGCCCGCTGTGATAGTTCGAGAACGTATCACTTGGAGACCCGATCTCTGCTTCGTTGAATTGGAATTGTCTCAAAGTCTCGACTCGGGAGACAGTCGAGCCACGACTGGCTCTCAGTATTTTCTCTGCTATTGGGCACTAAGTACATCAAGCGACTCTGTAACCACCGCAATGGAATTTTTCTGGACTCTGGCCCTGCTGCTGATATATAGTATAGACCTTACCAATGGCGCCTGTGAAAGAATTTCGGATTTGAAAAATGGTTCAATCGGAAGACGAGGAAGGGATATAGTGAGATTCAGGTGCGATCGCGGCTACATTCTTCAAGGACCATCGGTAGCTACCTGTGACCGGAATGGTCGCGTTCGAGGTGAAAAACGCTTCTGTGCCAAAATCGGATGCCAGGGCCTCGAAAACCCGGAGAACGGTCGAGTTTTCAATCATAACTTGAGGGCGGATATCGTGTGCAATGATGGCTATGTGCTGGTTGGGAGTCGCACAGCATTTTGTGATGGAAAAGTGTGGAACACTCAGTTGGGATCTTGTCGAAACAGTAACCACACGGCAAACCATTCCTGCGACTTCGAGAGCGAGGATCAGTGCGGTTGGGACGTGGACAAGACCTGGTGGAGTCCTTGGAGACGGGTCAGCACGGTGTCCGACATTCACTCCCTGAGCACAGGGCCCCGCCACGATCATACGTTCAGAAACCAATCCGGCGGTCACTACATGCGCATGGAAACACAGATGGGGTCCTATGGGAGCTTCCACCTTATGTCGCCAATCTATCCCAGATCCCTCAGCCTGAAGACCGCCTGCTGCTTCCGGTTCCATTACTTCATGTACGGAGCGGGCGTGGATAGCCTGGTGGCTTCCGTAAAACCCGTCTCGATGCGGGTGACGGACATGTGGAATAATTTCAAATTCAAGTGAGTTTTGCCGGGGCGGAAGTACTGTGTGATAAGAATGCGCATGCAAGTGCTATTTTAATAAGTTTTGCTGAATGGCTTCCGTTTTAATATTATCTTTGCTTTCCAACATTTAGCTCTACCAAATTCAAGATAACTGGAGCTCAGGGAACCGAGTGGCTGGAGCACACGATCACCATCGACGAGATGCAGGAGGACTTCCAGGTAGTTTTCACGGCCACGGATGCGCGGTCTAGGTTTGGGGACATTGCCATCGATGACGTGAAGCTGATGACGGGCAGCGAGTGTGGCACGAATGGGTTTACCACCACCACCGAGCCACCTGCACCGACGGGCGACACGAGTGAAATGCCGCTGGTTTTCGATATGATGAGCTGCACGGGTCGTTGTGGAATCAAAAGTTTGGATTCTAAAAATAGCAGTCAAGGTCTCATTATGGGATGTGGGTGCGATGAGAGCTGCCTTTCTTATGATAATTGTTGCCTCGACTTTAATGAGGAGTGCGATAAGGAACTAAACGTATTTGCCGATGACGATCCACAACTTAACACTACAACAACCTCTGGCACCACTACACCAACTCCAACGACAACGAGAGCGACAACAACGACTTCTTCTACTACAACTACAACGAGGAGGACGACAACACCAACGACTTCTACTACTACAACTACAACCAGGAGGACGACAACACCAACTACTACTACGCCAAGGCCGACTACAACTACCAGAAAGGCAACAACCACTCGAAGGACAACAACCACTAAAAGGCCGACTACGACAACAACGCGAAGAACCTCAACATCATCGACTCCAAAGACAACGACAAACCACTCGGAAAATGGTAACAACGAAGAAAACTACAACAACACTACAACCTACAACTACTACCAAAAAGGTTGTTGTGACAACCACGACTGGAACTTCAACAACGGCTGTAACATCTACAAGAACACTTCCAGTTTCAACTTCCGTAGGCCAAAAGACTACAGGTAAGAGCATCATATCTTCGATATTAAACTTGGGCTGCTTATATAATTTCCATATTGTAGTATTACTTATGGTTACTTATAAAGCAAAGAGAAATTCCTAGTACCGGTGGGATCTATTCAGATTAAGCCCTGTCTATATCCTAGACTAATAAGCATGATACTACACCCCATTTCAGTCCACCCAATAATCATCACCACGAAAAAGATGAGGAATTATACTTGGGAGGTTGATCCACAGGACATCTCTGGCCACATGGACATGGGCGAAAGTGCCCCAAACCCCGCTTTGACAGTTCTGTTCCTGCTTGTTGGCGTAATCGTGGTGGTAATCCTGGCCAACGTTGTACACCGATGGATATTACCACTCAGTGGATCCAGACCCAATAGTGAAAAGGCTGTTAGTTTCCGGAAGGCTTTCCAGAGTCTGAGGAAAACTCGGAAAAGAACTAGCTCGGATCAGGCATTGTGCGACACTGATAACGAGGACGGAGATTACTTCGAGGAAATGGGAGTGGACATACGTAGTAGGACCGACCTTTGAGAGTATTGATGAATAAGAAATATAAGTGAGATAAGAAAATTTGATCATCAGTTGATTATATTAATTCATTGGGAATCAATATCAGAATTGCAAAGTGAAAGCATAAACATTAAGTTGACGAGGGACTGCAGGCTCAAGTTCTTCGCATTTCAAGGTAAGAAAGTCCATTTCCTTTTACTTATCAAAGGGTGCAGTCCTTCGATCCAAGAGTAACTATGAATAACCCAATCAAATTAGGCTGATACAAAAAGGGCAAGAAAAACGAATACGCGAAAAGCATTTGAAAGCAGCAGTATTATTTGACCTGGAAGTCAACCCTCGGGATTGAATCGCTTGTGGACGCGTTTAACGAGCATGAAGGAGTAGCGTCTGGCTCCCCGATAATCAAATCTTGTGGGGAGTGTCAGTTACTAGGAATGGCCTAGGGCTCTGAGTTTCTGCGGATTCTTGGGCTGCTGTCAGTCACTCACCCCTTACCCAATATTTTCACTCCCCTTCCTTGGAAGCCCGATGTTGCACGTGTCCTGCCAGCGGCTGTTGCAACCACCGACTGCTGCTGAGCAAAAAAAAAACGCTCAGGACCCAAGAACCCAATAACCTAACCAAAACCCAAGCCATAGCAACCACCAACAGAGTTTTCCGAGTTTTCCGGGGGCAGGTTCGTGTTTTAACAGCGGCTTTCGGTTGTGATTTACTGGCAGCTTAGCGTCTGGCACGGGACCAGTTAGCAGTAACTAGACAACCTCTATCACACCCCTTCCTCTACACAGAGAGAAATTGAGCTTATTGATATACTTTTAAATTTAAAGGGCAACCTTGGGCAAAATCAAAAGGGATTCTTTACAGGCCTAGATACAAAAGTAAGCGAGAAGTTCCAATAGTAATAGTAATAGGTAACACCATGAATGCATGGCGCAATTACCTAATTAAAAACCATAAATTTTCTCACTGTGCATGAACGATTTGTGCGGCTCTCAGCAGAAATATTTTTCTGGGCATTTCATGCAATTATTGCCCCTGGACCAGACGAGTCCCAGACCGAGAAGCCCATCGCAGCCCGGCGAAATAGCAAGTTTGCACGCTCAACAAATTTTCACACAAGATTTTCCAGCCTTGAGTTTTCCGCAGCGTTTTGCATGCACCCCGTTCGGTTTTTGGGATCCCCCTGCCCCCTAAACTTTTATTTTTTCATGACTTCCTGTTTGCCATTGTGATTTAACGCCCGCCGTCGCTCTCTATCGACTTCTCACACATCATTTGACGGCGAGAATTTTCCAGTTTCACTGCTGTGTTTTCCCCCTTTGGGTTTTAATTAAAAAGGCATTTTGATGGCCCAGACAGGGGGCGTGCCTGAAGTTGCTTTTGCCGCATTTTCACCCTAATGCTCATTGAGGCCCTAATTAAATGGTAAGTAAGTCGGCTTATCTGCGAAATGGAGGGGTTAAGGACGGCCCGGGGATCGTCGGGTTGGGTCCTGTATATGAATATTTACTCGCTTATATTTTTTCGGCTGCATCGTATGGTGAGCGTCGTAAATTTCCGGGGGACAAATTTTTGCATGGAAAATGGCGTGGTAATGGGGGCTCTAAGGGGCTCACCTTATCTATCGCATTCCGGACAAGCCCACACACGTAGCTGGAAAAGGGGGCGCACCCTTGACACCCTGTTTTATCCCTGCCAAGTCCCTGGGCCTCCAGCTGCCCCGTTCTTATCGCGGCAATAAATTGCATTAATTTATTGTTGTCGCCGCATATTTGGCGGTACGGTGGAAATCCCCACCCACTCGTTCCTTTCTCCCCAAATGGGCTTGTCCACTCAGTGGGTGGAAGTGGGCGGCTGGAAAAGAAAAGCGTTAGCCACTGCAGTATTACTGTTTTCGAGTTAGCACTTCTTTGCTAGGACAGAGCACCTGAAAATATGCAACATGTCTATGAAGTCCAGCTAAAAACCTTCTTTGGGACATCTCGAAAATCTTGCGGATGGATTCATATATGCTTCCTTGAACTTGAAGTAAAGCTAAGACAAGCTTAGGATAGCAAGTAATGGAAACTGCACCTAAAATCTCGTTGTTGGCCATCTCTTATTCAGTCTTTATGGTCATTCAGAAATAACTCCACTACTTTTTGTAGCTGTGTATCTGGCAGAGTATATGTCATTCTTCAATATCGCCCTCCAACATGAAAATGTCTCTGCATTACGTTTTTATTGTTTTCTCATTTCTGTCAGCTGCGTCAGCATTTCAGTTTCGTCCTTTTAATCTCCAGTGCGAAATTGTTGCCTAAGATCCCAATCGACGGCAGAGTGTGGAGGAGGGGGGCCAGGACTCGGGGGCCTTCGAATATTTATAACACTACGGCTGCAATTTATTATGCAGTGTCTGGACAGTGGTCAGTGGGAGCGGAGTGGAGTTGAGTTGAGTTTTGGCTACTTTAACGTGCCAGTCACCAAAGATGTCACCTTATGTGGGGCTTCAGGGGGTTAAAGGGCTGCATGGCCTGCAAGGGAGCTGTTCGGCCAACACACAAAACCTGGCCAAGATTTATGCACTCAAGTTATGGCGGCCCAGACTGCAACTTTATCGTTGCCACTGGGATTTTACACTGAGAGAGAAAAGTAAGCCTTTATTATCAACAAAACCTAATAATTTTATCTATTTTATTGCTTTTAAATAAATTATTTGTAGATCTAAACTTATCTTTATCAACTTCCATCTAGTCAAAGAGATTAATTATTAATATGAATACGTAACACTTTGAGTTTTTCCCGCAGTGCAGCTTGACCACAGTTCTCAGCGCCTCCCCCGACTTTCCCTTCACTGCAGTTGTTGTTGTTGCCTGGTCCCGACATTTCCTGTTGCCGTCCTTTATCAGTTTTCCAAAGTTGTTGTCGACTGCAGATCTTTTTGCACTTCTTGTGTGTGTCAGGCAGTATTTTTGCCCAAGACTGCGACTACATTTAAATAAATACAGGAGGGGAGAACTAGAAATGGCAGGGCCCTTATTAGGTTGTTAAAGGGAGTCCCTTGGCGAGTTTAAGTATAATTTATTTGCCTTAAGTACACACTCAACAGCAGAGATGCAGATTGCTCGGATGTCATAAGATTTATGTTTATATAATGAAAAATCAGGTCAATTGGGAAGTTAAGTTAATGTAAAAGAAAGTAAAGGGCTGACCAGGAAATAGATTTAAACTCTTTCATGCACCATTTCGTGATATACAAATTTTCGAACTAATCGTGATGACCCTTGATACCAATAACATTAATCAAAATTCGTTACTCATTATAACCAAGTTTCTTCGAAATCCGCTTACAGGCCAAGCCAAACGGAAACTAACTACCCTCCCACCGCTTTCCTCTTTCCACTTTCATCGCCGTCATCATCGGGATCAGGATCATCGTTGTAATCACCAGCAGGAGCATAAAAACTAATTAAGCATCACATTTCACATCCAATCTGACCTCTGGCTCCCCTGAGTATCCGCAAATGGCAGGAAAAATAATATTGCAAAAATGTAAGCAGAGGAAAGAAAAGCAAACCGAAATCGAAATATAAGCCAAATAAATTTCCCGTTCACCAAATGCGCTTTCATAATTAATATGAAAAACAAGAGGAGAGCCAAGGAGCAGAGTCATAGCTGCCATGACAACAAATGGAAATGAAAAGGAAAAATAGATGGCGGGAGTGCAGAAGCTATCGTTCCTTCAATATTTTCAGGGTCTGCATCCGCATCCGCAGCCGAATGAAAAGTGCAGCGGAGGCAGAATTACTTAGAGTCTCCGACACACACGTAAAAAAAACACCTTTACTTTCTAGAAATTATGAGTATACTGCATGAGTATACTACATTGTACAGACTTTACATTATGTAAAGCAAAATACAAGAAATACAGAACAAAACTCAAGCTCAACTTGCCCTTAATTTGTTGCAGTGTAACTCCTCAAAAACATATCGAAAATCAAACAATTGTCTTTCCTACAATGGCACACAACATTCATTGTGCTGGCACACCCGGCAATTGATGTGTTGTTCTCCACCAGCCACCAGCTGCTGGAGGAGCTGGGAAAGCCGAAGGAAAATCTGGCGGGATATTCAGGAGGAGAGAGAAAAGCCGAAAGAAGCTGCAACATTGCATGGTTTAATCAGCAGCTTACAAGGGTAAACAAAGGGAAGGGAAAAGCCAGAAAGTGCATGAATCGTGGGGAAGTGGGCTGAAAAGTGGGTGGGTAAATGCGATCCATCAAAATGAAATTGAAATCTTTTGCTCATTTTTGAGCTTCGCCGAAGGGGGAAAGGGATTCTCGGATTCTCGACACGAGGAGGTGGATACAAAAATTGGGATTGAAATTCGCATTTGGCATTGCAGTTTGTCTTTGGCTTGACTTGGCTGCCTGCCTTCCGTCCTTACAGATCCTTCTCCTGGTTTTGCTCCGTTGCCCAACCTCCCCCATCCTCGCAGTCCCTGCCATGTCAATCAATGTCAATAAAACAATTACTGTCACTTGCAGCTGGGCAAAAGGCAAGGACAACCGAAAGGGAAAAGGGGAGGCAGCGGTTGGAGTGGCAGCGGGATGAAAAGGATGAACAGCCAACGACTTTGGACTTGGTGTCATGTTCGAGTAGCTCGAAAAGGGAGTTCAGGGATCGTCGAGGGGCGCAGGACGAAGGACTCTCCTGCAGTTGTCGCAGCTGGAGTTTTGAAATCGAAGCGGGCTGGCCACTCAACAAAAACCCGCCCACACGCTGGGTGGGATGCACTGGGAAAAAGCGGGAAAGTAAGAAATTAATATGTCAAAGTAGTCCTAAAGTAAGTATATTTTTAAAGGTCTCTGACAAAAGGAATTTGTACTTTAAAGACGCAAAATGATTTATTTTTTATTCAACCCTCTCTTCTTTAATTAGTTAACAAGATCTTTCTAAGTGTAAGCTCCCTTTGCTGCCATTCAGAGCCCAAGGAGAAACCTCCCTGCTGCAGCTTTTTCGGGGTAAAGTGTTTGCGGTTCTGCATCTCTGGTCCCCACTTTCCCTCCATTGCCACCAACCG